AGGGAATGGGGAAAAAAAAAAAAAAAAAAAAAAAAAAAAATCAGTGAAAAGTGCACATGTAGACACTGATCAGGAGCAGATTGCTCCTGGCCATCCTAGGCAGCAGGGGGCACAAGAGGTGGGGAGAGCTGTCCCAGCTCAACATGACACTGCCTGCCAGCCACATTGAGACCTAGGCCTGTTCCGATCTCCACAAGGTGGGGAGAGCTGTCCCAGCTGCCTCCCAGCCACATGGAGATTGGAACAGGTTCCAAAATCTCCACATCACTGGGAGGCAGCTACCCAGCAGCCAGGACTCTCCCCTCATGCTGCAGAGATTGGGACCAGCCCCCATACTCCTTGCCAACCTGAGGCTGGTATGCAGGGGACCCTAGAGCTCCCCCTGGCTGCTGCAAGACGCACAGGATGGCAGGACCAGCCCTAGATTGACCTGCTGCTGTTGGGAACAAATCTGCTCCTGAAGGGCACATGTTCAGATGTGTGTGGGAGCGCAGTTAAATGCACCTGAATTTTCTGCGCAGAAAATTCAGGTGCATTAACTGCAAGTGTAGACACACCCAGTGAGCAGTATTTTCATTGCATCATTCCACCCCTGTGAGCAGGGGAGACAGGGTTCAGAAAGCTGCAAGATTGCCAGCAGAGGCTGACTGGATTCTGAGCACACTACAAGGCAGGGAAGGTTAGTGGAGATGACTGGCAGGTTGGGAAGCCAGGGTGGCCTGAAGCTGCAAGTGTAATTGTGACCTTAGTGCAAACATTGATGCTCCCTATTTTTCCCCTAATTGCATACTTATCCATGCAAGGGAGCCTCCAGCAGGCAGGTGAGGTCAGAGAGCTAAGGAGAGATCCCTGCACTGCATCCTGGACAGTCTGCCCCCCCGATGGAAGAGGACCCTGAGATGGATGGACAGGCTCTTACCTTACGCAGGCAGCGGGAGGCAATGACGTAGTTGAGGAACTCCACAGTGAGGCGGCGACACAGCTGAATTGTCTGCACATGGCATTTGCCTGTCCTTGGAAAGGTGGCAAAGAGGAAACACATGGAAAGCACATCATCCAGATCTCGCAGGGCATCAATGAATGTCGGGTACCTGCAGCCACCATGGAAGACCCCAGTGAGAACAGGAAGGGGTACCAAATACAAACACCCATTAGCCTGCCAGGAGTGGCATCATTCAAAACCCAGACCTGTGCTGGAACCACAAGACCAGTGCCACCTTATGGCCACTGGGTGGCCACCATGAACTACCACTGGGACAGGATTTGGAAGCTCAGAGCCACTGTAGTGAGCAGCCAACCCCAAACCAGATTTCATCTTTGTCAAAAGTGGCACCAAATGCCAACAAAGCCACTTAGGACCTGCAGGGAAACAGCACCCTCCAGTGAGGATTGGAGAAGTTGAGATCCACCCTGGGGAAGTTCACGCAGGTTCAGTGACCAGGTGCAGTCGTTCACAATACCAAACTTGTGGCAAAAAGAAAAAAACAAAGCAGGGAATGAGACCAAGGCATTTAACAGGTTTGTTAGCATGAGACTAATGCATGACCCTTTAAATTGCTCAGTCACCCGATTTTTGCTAACATGCTAGCAATGCCCTGGCTTCATGCCCTGCTTGCAACATATTTTACACCTACCCACCCAACTAGGACTGGCCTGGGAACATTTCCACCCCCAGCATCTATATAAGGTAATGCTATACTTGCTATAAGCTGTGCAATGAACAACTGGTCTCCAAGGCTACAGGCATTACTGCCAGTTCAGCACAGATATGAGGGTATTGGGTTAGAATAGCACTGAAATGCAGAGCCAAGTGTTAGAGGGAGCTAGGCACTGAAAGATGCGATTTATAGAAATAGATACTTAACTGCATCTTTCAGTGCCCAACTATCTTTTCAGAAATGTAGTCTACAGCACTGGGATGTTTGTCTCTGCTTAAGGCACTCTGCCAAGCCTTGCAACAAAGCCTTTACACAGTTTAAATGCCAAGATAAATGGGAGGCAGCATGGACTTGGCCCCCAATACGAGTAAGGAGATCTAGGTCCTAGTCTGGACCTAGATCCAAGTCCTAGTCTGGACCTGCTTCCTCCCCTCCATCCATCGGGTATTTTTTGTTTGTTTGTTTTTTTTAAGTATAAGATCTTCGTGCCAGAGACTATAGGGCCTGTGGGAATGATGGTAAAACAGCGAACACATCCTTTGGATTCACTGCTGTCAGAATGGGAATGGAGTACATCAGATAGATCTTCAAGATCAACACCCCTCCAAATCTGGCTCTGGGCAGGATCCCTGACAGGGCCCTTGGCACATGTTCACTTAATAGCATGATTGGATCTGTTCCCCAATCCTAACAATCACACCTTCTGACATGTATGGCAGCAAATGCAATTTTTACTATGCAATTGCACCATTACCATTTGGCCAGTGCAGGGGGAGCCCAGGCTCATGATCCTGTACCAGCAAGTAGAAAGCTGAATGCTGGGGAATTAGTGTAGTCCCAGGGCTCTTCCAGCCCCAGGACCTCACCAGAGATGGTACAAGGCTCCAGTGAGGTCCCAGAGACAAGACTGACAATCAACTGATTGTGCACTCCAGTATCAGGACAGCACTGGGGCCAGTTCAAGAGCCCTGCCAGACAGTTGGCATCAGGCTACATTTGGGAAGGGGAGGCACAGGGAGCAACAGACACTGCCACATGTTCAATTTAAGGGACAATGGACACACATTATGATATACATTTTGTGGAATAAATTCTGCCTTATGCCCTATTTTATTACACAATTGATCGCAAGAACATGTGGCCGGTCACTGTTTAAGACATGATTATTATGCCTTGTCACAGTTTCATAGTTTCTAGGGTCGGACGGGACCTGAGTAGATCATCTAGTCCAACCCCCTGCCATGGCAAGAAAGAGTACTGGGGTCAAACGACCCCAGCAAGGTGTACATCTAGCATCCTCTTAAAGATCCCCAGGCTAGGAGCCAGCACCACTTCTCTTGGAAGTTGGTTCCAGATCCTAGCCGTCCTGACCGTGAAGTAGCGCCTCCTGATATCTAATCTAAATCTCCCCTCTGCCAGCTTGTGACTGTTATTCCTGGTCACTCCTGGCAGTGCTTGGGGGAACAGGGACTTCCCCAATGCCTGCTGGTCCCCTCTGACTAGTTTGTAAC